GGAACTCAAAAGGCATAACAAATACTAGAAAGGTATAATTAGAAATACATGGTTCAAAAGTCATAAATGGGTAGTTAGGAGCAACATCTCTACTTACAAATGAATTACGAAAAGAAGAACTATGCTACAAAATACTTACACAGTTTTTGTCAGTTGTTGTTCTCTTTCTTTTTAAACTTTCAAATTTGTTTCCTGTGCTCTTCATTATTGTGGAAACATTGAAGCAAAACTGAGCAGCATCAGGGAAACACCAGCAGCTGGCTCCAAGGCTGCAGAATGGCTGTGCAGTTCCCGCAGGACTGCCACGCTTCAGCCGGGCACAAAAGCCCCTCTCCTTTCCCACAAGGAGTAAAATCAGAGCTCCTCCTGATTTCCTAGGCTTGCCCTGCATCACTGATCCAGAACCTCCTCCAAGTGTGGTGAGTGAGAGGAGACACATCAAGTGTGCTTCTGGACCACCTGTTTTCTCTCCAATTTCCCCACTCCTGAAACAGTGCCAACCTGCAGCTGGGACCACACCTGGTGTCCCCCAGGCCTCTCCTCTGGGCTGGAGCCCTGCAGGGCAGCTCCAGGATGAACAATTCCTTTTCCCATTGCAGCAGTCTCCTTTGGTGTGGAAAAGAAAGAAGTGAGAATTGGAGGTCCCCTTCTCCTTGTCCATCTTCTCAATAATTTCTGTCATCCTCCAGCACAGATGGAGCCAGGGAGCTGCTTCCTCCAGACAGCCAGCAGCTCCCTGGGCACTGTTTGCCTCCTTCGGGACAGTTCCATGGAAGTGTCCTGTGCCCCTTGGCAGAGCCTTTTGTCCTCATCTGCTTCCCACTGGGAGAGCCCTTTGTCCTCATCTGCTTCCATGGGGACATGTCTTGGACATTACACTCTTCCCCAAAGACAGCTCTTTGTCATATTTGCTGCCTCCTTGGCAAAGCTTATTGTTGCTGCTGTTATCCTGTTGGGAGAGCTCCTTGTCACTGTCACTCTCCCCTTGGGACAGCTCTTTCCTGTGGTAGTCCTGGCCCTGGGATGTGTCCTGGTCACTCTGCTTGGCCCCTGGGGAGAGCTTGGTGGCATTTTCCCTTTGGACAGCTCCAAGGCACTCTTGTTATCCCCCGGGTCAGTGTCATCTGCCCTGGGCACTCCTGTTTCTTTAGTTCATCTTCCTACTATTTGTTCTCTTCCCACTGGGACATTGAAGACAGACACCTCCAGCAGGAAGGTGCATGCAGCAGTGTTCTGGAACAGGGATAACCCAAGGGCAGCACAGGAACAACAACCACTTTGTGCCCTCCTGATTTCATGAAACATTTTCCTGTTGGAAAAATGAACAGGGGCAGCTCTACATGCAGACCAGCCTGACTTCTGTCAGCCCCTGGGTTCACACACAGGAAGGAAACCTGTGAGCTGTTGAGCTGCAATGGGATGAAGAGTTTCCACTTTGGACCAGGAACTGCTGGGTACCAGCCCTCTCTTTGCAGCAATTTGTTCAGCTTGGCAGAGGTGAGACACGTCCTCACTGCTCTCACAGCACGTACTTCAATCACAGATGCAGCCTTAACTGGGAGAGGTTTGTCTTTTCTCCCACTCCCTGTCTTTGCTCCCACTCCCTGCTGCCTCCATGCAGAGCTCCCCAGCCCACCTGAGCTGTGATGACCATGTACAGCCCCTTCATGGCACATTTCCTCACAGCCCCTCCATGGCAAATCTCCCCTCACACACCACCATGGCACTTCTCCCCTCATGGACCCACCATGGCACCTCTCCCCTCACAGCCCCACAGTGGCACATCTCCCCTCACACCCCACCATGGCACCTCTCCCCTCACAGCCCATCATGGCACCTCTCCCTCACAGCCTCACCATGGCTCCTCTCCCCTCACAGCCCCTCCATGGCACATCTCCCCTCACAGCCCATCACGGCACATCTCCCCTCACAGCCCCTCCATGGCACATCTCCCCTCACACCCCACCATGGCACCTCTCCCCTCATGGACCCACCATGGCACATCTCCCCTCACAGCCCATCATGGCACATCTCCCCTCATGGACCCACAATGGCACCTCTCCCCCTCACAGCCCCACAGTGACACATCTCCCTCACAGCCTCACCATGGCTCCTCTCCCCTCACAGCCCATCATGGCACATTTCCCCTCACAGCCTCACCATGACACGTCTCCCCTCACAGCCTCACCATCGCACCTCTCCCCTCACACCCCGCCANGGGAGATGGAGTCAGGACATCTGCAGATGAGTCACTCTTCCCTCAAGCTCCGACCTCTGCTCCTGGCACAGGGACAGCACCCAGGGAGCGGCTGGAGCTGAGCCTGGAGGGATTTAGGTTGGGTTTCAGGGAAAGGTTCTTGCCCAGAGGGTGCTGGCACTGCCCAGGGAATGGGCACGGCCCCGAGGCTGCCACAGCTCCAGGAGCTGCCAGGGATGCCCAGGCTGGGCTTGGTGGGCTCTGGGCTGGCACTGGGGGGTCCCTGGGGGTCCCTGCAACCCAGGATATTCCATGATCCCATAACTATTTATGCTGCCAGCACCTGCCTTGCTCTCGAGGTGGACCAGGCACAGACAAGCCCAATTGGAAAAAGCAGCATTTTTTATTGATCACCCACCCACAAGAGGAAGGAAACACCCAAGAATCATAAATGCTCAAGGACAAAAACAACGATAAAACTTGGAGCATCCACAAAATAATAAAAAACTTCTGTTAAACACTTGTGATTATTTTTTTAATACATTAAATGTATTAATATTTTGTTAATTTGACTTATTGCTATACAACTGCTACATTAATCTCTGACCTACAATAAAAGTTTGGGATAAAGGGAAAGGGTGAAAGGGTAGAGAAAAAGGAAAAGATGAATTATAAAGTGACAGACAGAATGAAAGACAAGGAAAGAAGGGGGCAGAGATTATCACTCCTGGCTCCAGCATGGTTCCAGGTGACAGGATGTCTCTCCTGGCTCCAGCATGGTTCCATATGAGGGGACATTACTCCTGCTTCCAGCAATGATCCAGCTGTTGGGATGTCCAGGCTCAGGGACTTGGTTGGGGGCACCCTTTTATGGACTGGGTTCCCCACCCTGAAATGAGTTTCGCACCTCTGTGCAAACTGGGCCTCCTGCACAGTCTGTTCTTTGAGAGCCTTCTGGAAAAAGGTCAGCGGCTTTGGGGGTCTTTGTGCTCTTGGCCCCAGTCCTGTGCTTGCAGTGCTGGGTTGTGCTGACCTCCAGGAACCACAACTGGGACATCTGTCCTGCCCAAGCGCTGCTCTGCCTCCCCCTCCAGGCCTGGCTGGCGCTGGTGTGGGCACTACTCCTCTGGCTGTGCCACCAGGCAGGGACACCAGAACAGCCCCAACACCAGCCTGGGACACCAGAACAGCCTCTGCAACAGGCGGGGACACCGGAACAGCCCCCGCAGCATCTGCCTGAAGCGGGAGGGACGCTTCTCAGAGCGCTGGCTCTGTGCCTCTGTCACCTCCACACCAAGATGCTTGGGGGGCTCCTCCTCCTCAGCAGCTGCCAGCTTGGCACCTGTGGGACCCTCCAGGACAGGAGAGGCACTGGGCTCATCAGCACAGGCTGGCTTTGCTGCCACCTCTGTGCCCACGTGCCTGGAACAGCTGGGTCCTTCCAGGGGGTCCTCGTCATCCACCAAACCCAAGGGTTTGTTCCAGTTGTTGTTCTGGATGGGTTCATCTCCTTGAGACACCACTGGGACTCCTTTGGAATGCACATTGTCACCAGCATTGAAATTGATAGACGACATGGAGTCCAACAGCTCTTGCCTGGGAGCCTCCGACTTCTCCTTGCACCAGTTCAGATTGGACAGTCCTTGGTGTGTGTCAGCTTCATGCTCTTCCTCCTCCTCAGCATCATAATCATTGGGGAAGTTGGCTTCCAGCCAATCCAGCACCATCTGAAGCCTTGACACTCTCTCCACTGGCAGTCTAGTTGACAAGCTTGAATCTCTGTCCATACCACCGAGCAGGGCCCTCCTGGTCAGATCTTTGTCCTCACGTTCTTCCCAGTTGCAGAGCTCTTCATCCTCATGTTCTTCCCAATGGGAGAACTCTTCATCCTTCTCTTGTTCCCAGTTGCAGAGCTCTTCATCCTCGTGTTCTTCCCAATGGGAGAGCTCTTCATCCTCCTCTTGTTCCCAACTGCAGAGCTCTTCATCTTCTTGTTCTTCCCAATGGGAGAGCTGTTTGTTGTCATCCTCTTCCCATGGGGACATGTCTTGGACATCATAGTCTTCCCCAAACCACAGCTCTGTTTCGCATTCGGCGTCTGCTGGGGAAAGCTTCTCATCCTCGTAGTTAACCCCTTGGGACAGCTCTTTGTCACTGTCACTGTTCCCCTGGGACAGCTCTTTTTCATCCTTCTCTTCACCCAGGGACAGCTCCTTGTAACTCTTGCTGTCCCCTCGGGAGAGCTCACTGTCACCTTCCACTGGGGACAGCTTCTCCTCATTGCTG